AACTGAACTCAAGCTTTGTGCCCATTGCCTCATGCAAGCTGTGCCAGAATCGGCTGGCGAATCTGGGATCTCTGTCTGATACAATCGTAACGGGCACTCCGTGGAGTCGAAAGATCCCACGGGCATATATCTCAGCCAACTTATCCATGGACATCCTCATCGAAACGGGTAGGAAATGCGCAACCTTAGTCAATCTGTCGACCACGACCCAGATAGCGTCGTGATGTTCAGACGACCTCGGCAATCCCGTAACGAAGTCCATCGTGACTTCCTCCCATTTCTACTTCGAAATCGGCAGTGGTTGTAGGAGGCCAATCGGACTCTGATGCTCGGCTTTAACTTGCTGACAGGTTAGACATCTCTTGACGAACTCAGCGACGTCCTTCTTCATGCCTCGCCACCAGAACGACTCTTTTAGGTCGTGATACATCTTCGTGCTCCCGGGATGAGCTAGATAGGGTGCGGTATGGGCCTCTGATAAAATCTCCTTCCGCAACGCCTCAACTTTCGTGACCACGATCCTGCTCCTGAACTCTAGGGCACCATCGGCACCTAGCTGGAAACCCTCGACGCCTCCGGCGCGAACCTTGGCCTCCATGACACGAACGAACTCGTCAGAAGCCTGTTCTCGCCGAATTCTCTCTCTCAGCGTCGGCTGAAGCTGCATAGCACTAACACTGGCACTGGCACTGCCACTTCCCGAAACTGCTATGGGAAGTGCATCGATCGCCTGAAGCTGCATCCGGGCAAACTCCTGAATCAAAGGACTCTGCTGAGTAATGACGTACGTCAAATCACCCTTCACCTGTCGGCTTAGGGCATCTGCAACGACGTTCGCCTTTCCCGGATGGTACTGAATAGAGCAGTCGTAATCCTTGACGAGCTCTAACCAACGGCGCTGTCTCATGTTGAGCTCCTTCTGAATAAAGATATACTGCAAGCTCTTATGATCCGTGAAAATCTCACAGTGACCGCCGTAAAGGTAGTGTCGCAAAATCTTGAGAGCATGAACGACTGCTGCTAACTCCAAGTCGTGCGTCGGATAATTCCGCTCATGCGGCTTAAGCTGACGGGACGCATACGCAACGACCTGGCCGTCCTGCATAAGGACACATCCCAAGCCCTGCTTCGAAGCATCACTGAAAATGGTGAAACTCCGAGAAGGATCGGGAATAGTCAACACCGGTGCTGAAGTTAATCTCTTCTTGAGCTCCTGAAAGCTCGACTCACATCGGTCCGTCCACTCGAACTTCACAGACTTCCTAGTCAGCTGGGATAAAGGGAGGGCAATCTTGGAAAAGCCCTCGATGAACCTGCGATAGTATCCAGCTAGACCGAGAAAACTGCGAACCTCGGACGGGCTCCCCGGTGCTGACCAATTCTGAACGGCTGAAACCTTGGAAGGATCCACCTCGATACCTGCCTGAGTAATCACATGACCCAGAAAGGATACTCGCTGGAGCCAGAACTCGCATTTGGAGAATTTCGCAAACAACTTTTCTCGTCTGAGGGTTTCAAGAACCACCCTCAGATGCTCCTCGTGCTCCTTCTGACTCTTCAAGTAGACAAGAATATCGTCAATAAAGACAATAACAAACTGATCGAGGTAGGAATGGAAGATACGGTTCATGAGGTCCATGAAAACTGCTGGCGCATTGCTGAGACCGAATGGCA